ATCTTCTATTCATAATAAATATATTGTTCTTTCTCTAGCCTAAGCTTGTTCTTCATCATGTATTGGTAGTTGTTACGATACAGTGAGTTGGTGTAGACGATGATGTGACTTCCAGGTAAGATCTTATAGATTAGGCGGTTATATCATGACAAATCTAGAATTTTAGGATTAGGTCTATTGTTAGAGCAGTACTAATATCATAATAGACCATAGTTCTACAAACTCTCAACAACAGGTTCCATGCCTTACAAAATCTACTGAAGGAAGAAGAAACTACCATGGAGGACAACTGGAAAGGCATCAAGAAAACATTAACTTCAACGTGTCAAGAGGTTCTCGGTCTAAAGAAATACCATCATAAGGAATAGATCTCTACAGAAACACTGGACAAGATCAAAGAAATGAAGAGCAAGAAGGCAGCAATAAACAACAGCCGAACACGAGCAGAGAAAGTCCAAGCACAAGCTGAATACATAGAAGCAAACAAACAAGTGAAGAGGAGCATCAGAGCCGACAAGAAGAAATACGTGGAAGAACTAGCAACGACGGCAGAAAAAGCTACTAGAGAAGGAAATATGAAACAGCTTCACGATACAACGAAGAAACTAGCAGGGAAATACAGTAAACCAGAGAGGCCGGTCAAAGACAAAGAAGACAAGCCAATCACCGAAATTCAACAACAGCTTAACAGATGGGTAGAATACTTCGAGGAACTCCTGAATAGGCCGGCTCCAATGAATCCACTGGACATCGAAGCAGCACACATAGATCTTACTATAGATGTCAGTCCACCAACGACCGAAGAAATTAGAATGGCCGTCAGACAAATCAAGAACGGGAAAGCAGCAGGATCCGACAACATACCAGCTGGAGCACTGAAATCAGACATCGAAGCAACCACAAGCATGCTTTATCTTCTATTCAAAAAGATTTAGGAGGAGGAACAAGTGCCGACGGACTGGAAAGAAGGACACCTCATCAAAATCCCAAAGAAAGGAGATCTGAGCAAATGTGAAAACTACAGAGGCATTACACTACTGTCAATACCAGGGAAAGTCTTCAACAGAGTGTTGCTGAACCGGATGAAGGATGCAGTAGACGCCCAACTTCGAGATCAACAAGCTGGATTCCGTAAGGATCGGTCGTGCACAGACCAAATTGCAACACTACGGATCATCGTCGAACAATCAGTTAAGTAGAACTCATCACTATACATCAACTTCGTTGATCATGAAAAGGCATTCGACAGTGTAGATAGGAGGACATTATGGAAACTTCTTCGACACTACAGAGTTCCTGAGAAGATTGTCAATATTATCCGGAACTCATACGACGGACGACAGTGCAAAGTAGTGCATGGAGGACAGCTGACAGATGCATTCCAAGTAAGGACCGGAGTCAGAGAAGGCTGTCCACTCTCTCCCTTCCTCTTTCTTCTGGTGATCGACTGGATTATGAAGACCTCCACATCTGAAGGAAAACACGGAATACAATGGACAGCTCAGAATCAATTAGACGATTTGGACTTCACAGATGACCTAGCCCTCTTATCACGTACACACGAACAGATGCAGATGAAGACAGCCAGTGTAGCAACAGTCTCTGCATCAGCAGGCCTCAGCATACACATGGGGAAAACCAAGGTCCTCAAATTCAAGTCGGAGAACAGCAATCCAATCACTCTTGATGGCGAAACTCTGGAAGATGTAGAGTCCTTCACATACCTGGGAAGCATCATCGATGGACAAGGAAGATTCGATGCAGACGTAACGGCGAGGATTGGAAAAGCAAGGGTCGCATTCCTACAATTGAAGAACATATGGAACTCAAAACAACTTTCAACCAATATCAAAGTGAGAGTCTTCAATACGAACGTCAAAATGTTGCTTCAGGATTGGGTTACATCGACACCCGAACTAATGATAGGGAGTGAAGTAGTTGAGTGTGTCGACCGCTTCACTTATCTTGGAAGTCTCATCAGCCCTTGTAGTCTGGTGTGTGACGAAATCTCAGCACGGATACAAATAGCTCGACTAGCTTTTGCCAACTTGCGTCATTTATGGCGTAGGTGAGATATCCGTCTATCAACCAAAGGACGTGTTTACTGTGCAGCAGTTCGCTCCGTCCTACTTTATGACAGTGAAACATGGCCAGTAAGACAGAGGATATTCATAGGTTACTAGTGTTCGATCATAGGTGTCATCGAAACATTGCTCGTATATCCTGGGACCATCGGGTAAGTAACGCAGTTGTTAGGACACGGGTACTAGGTAAGGATGGCCAATCAATTGATGAAGTAGTGAAACTTCATCAGTTGAGATGGCTGGGACACGTGTTACGTATGCCCAACCACCGACTACCTCGACGTGCGATGTTCAGTGGTATAGGAGTAGGTTGGAAGAAAGCTAGGGGCGGCCAAACCAAAACATGGCACAAGTCACTGACAAGTGAACTGAGTCATGTTGGTAGGTGTAGACTACCTGATTGGGGACCGCGAGATGATAGCAACCGGTGGTTAGAGACCCTGAATGGCATGGCTCAAAATCGTTTGCAATGGCGCAGGTGCGTCCACATTTTGTGTTCTCCTAAATTCTAATCTCCTGAATCTTCCTTGTCTCTTTTTTCTCTTTCCAAATTTATTTCACTGGATTATGCTCTTTAAATAACATCTCCAAACCCTAATCTTCCCGATTACTGCTTATACTCTTGCTACCTCTACTACTACTACGGGATTTGAATCGACAACTGCATCTCTGTGCTAATGTGGTGTGGCAACTCGAACTGATGTACGCAGGTACGAAGTTCTACGTTGTTACTGACTGACTGACTGAAACTGCATCACGAGGCAAGCCCTAACTTGGAATCCTGAAGGGAAGCAAAAAAGAGGAAGGCCAAAGAACACATTGCGTCGGATAATAGAAGCAGATATGAAAACGATGAATTACAACTGGATGGAGCTAGAAAGGATTGCCCAGGACAGGGTTGGATGGAGAATGCTGGTGAGCGGCCTATGCTCCTTCACGAGGAGTAGCAGGCGTAAGTAAGTAAGTGATTGGATAAAACATTTCCTGGAGTTCATAGGCCCCTATGGACTTTCCCGAATAACACTTTGGAACTCTCCAACACTTGAATTAGAGGTCACATTATAACTTGGTAAATTAGTATAGAGGGCTATATGAATAGTAACTGATTAGTAGCCAGTCATCAATCATTATAAATAGATACATATATGAGGGAGGGTTTGTGATGTTTGAATGAACCAATGATACCTTTGAACTGGTTGAATGCTTGATTTCAAATTTTAAATACAATACATTCGTTGGTGCCTGTCTCTTTTTAATTCAATTGCGTTAATCCTGGAATTCCTAACTCATACGACAATTAGAATACTATATTGGCGTCGTGATGGAACCTGCAATGGGAAAGTTGGATATTCATTCAACTTCGGAAGCATTTGAGGATTATTTGGAAAGGTTTGAAATCTGGAGCATGACTAAGAAAGATGTCAAAGGTGATAAAATCGTGGCACATTTTCTGACATTCATTGGGAGAGAAGCTTACAGCTTATTAAAAACTTTGGCATATCCAGAAAAACCTATCTTACTCCCTTATGCAACTGTTAAAGAGCTGTTGTTAAGTCATGTAAAATGCACCAGTTTTAAATGCCGCGAAAGGGCGAAGTTTCATAAGACGGTTCGTCAAAATGACCAAAAGGTTCGGGAATTCATCCTTGAATTACAGAAACAAGCTGCCAAGTGTAATTTCGGTGATCAACTTCATGTGCAATTGAGAGATCGATTAATTGCAGGAATTAACATACCGAGTTTGGGAAGAGAGCTGTTAAGAATGACAAACTGTTCCTTTCAAGATGCTAGAACTGCATGTATTAACTACGAAGCAGTCAATGAACTTGATATCCAGTTGATGAAGATTTCTAATACTTTGCGGCGAGACTCTAATTTAGCGACGAGCCAATCAGAAGCGTCTGAGCAATTTCAAGGTCACGGAGCCAAGTTCAACACGCGTTGCTAACATACGGTCGGTTCACAGCGGATTTTAGAGAGGAGGTGATTAATGAGAGGTTAAAACAGATGGGATGGCGAAACTCTAATTTAAGTACGAGCCAATGAGAAGCGTTTGAGCAATTTCAATTATTAGCCAATCAGAAGACAGTATAAAGTGAAAATATATATTACAAGAAAGTAATGAATTACAGTGGATGTTCTTCTTTTACATGATTTAAAAACTTGTTGAGGTTTGATAAAGGCTCAGAAGTTCTGAATTCATAATGCATATTGTATAAAAACTCGTCCATAGGGTCAGGGTTTGGGGTTAAAATTAGAGTTAAGGGTTAGGGTTAGATTAGGGTTTAGGGCTAAGGTTAGGGTTTGGGGTTAGGTTAAGGTTAGGGTTAGATTAGGGTTTAGGGCTAAGGTTAGGGTTTTGGGTTAGATTAGGGTCTAAGGTTAGGGTTTAGGGCTAAGGTTAGGGTTCGGGGTTAGATTAGAGTTTAGGGCTAAGGTTAACGTTTGGGGTTAGATGAGGGTTAGGGTTAGATTAGGGTTAAGGTTAGGGTTAGGGTTAGATTAGGGTTTAAGGTTAGGTTAGGATTAGGGTGCTAACATGCGGTCGGTTTACATCGGAGTTTAGAGAAGAGGTGTCTATTGACAGGCTACAACCCTAACCACTAACCCTATGGACAAGTTTCTATACAATATGCATTATGAATTCAGAGCCTCTGAACCTTTATCAAACCTTAACAAGTTTTTAAATCATGTAAAAGAAGAATATCCACTGTAATTCATTACTTACAATATATTCTCACTTTATACTAACTGTCTTCTGATTGGCTAACAATTGTCAAGGCCATTTTAGATTCGTTCAAAGGTCGTCGCTAAATTAGAGTCTCGCCTACTTTGCTTAGTTGTCGTGATGAACTACAATCTCAGGGTCAATCAAACTTGCGTTCATTTAACAGTGATTCCTATTCTCGTGTAAATATGAAAGGTGTTTCAACGAGAAATTACAAAGCAAATCACAAAGGTGAGATGAAGTTTGGTAAATGTTTATCATGTGGAAAGTTTCATGCTCGCAATTCATGTGTATTTCGTAATGCTAAATGTTTTAAATGTGGTAAGGTAGGACACATTCAGTCAGTATGCAAAGCTACTGTCCATTTTGCTTCAAGCTGTACTAAATCTTGTAATTTAAATTTCAATAATTCGGCTGTTTCTAGTGATCATTTATCTTTGTCTACTATTTCGAAAGGTTGTAGTGACTCACGTTTATCACGAGAACACGACTGGTTTAATAAAAACAATTATTATTATAACCAACTGTACCAGTGTTTGTTTTAACGTGCTTTTGTTTGACTGTACTAATGACAGCTATTTTGTGCTTCCATTCTTTTACTTACACTTTGATTGTAACTTATATATGAAAAAACTTGGTACTCATGCAATCCAACCAACCCACGGCAATTGAAATACGGAATGACCGCCTCTAGTCAAGCCGTTCAAGGTCGTTGAAACGAAAGAGCGGGCACATTTCAAAAGGACCTAACGTTTAAACCTTGCCCGCGAATTCGGTTACCTTCTGTAACCAAGGTTGTATCCTAGCACGATCTCGGTATCCTTTCGATGCCACGAGATCGCCAGCGAATAAACCTCGACTTGGTCCATTAACTGTCTTCTGGTATTCGGCTTCTCGGGGATTTTATGGAGTCATTTGGAACGAGCTTCTTACGCCATCTGATTCGCTTGGCACGTGTTTCTTGGTAGCGGTGTTCATAGTTAATCTCAACTCGACGCCACGCTACAAGGTAATGCTCATATTCAGAAGCGACTATACACATCGCTTGGTTCATTTCATGACTTTATTCTGGACACAGGCAGTATAGAGTCCATTATTTCATTCAAGAACTTGAAAGCTTTAGATCCTAACGTTGTTGTACGACCCACTGAAGTATCAATACTAGGGATTACTGGACACAGACTGCCCATACGAGGATGTTGTGAATTGCTAATCAGAGATGATAATTCTTCATACATACCTTGTGAATTTTTAGTTAGTGAAACAGGACTGTCAATATTGGATTTAAAGAATTTGAAAAGGCTTAAGGTGGAGTTGTCCTTCTTAGTTTCTAAAGAAAGTTGTAATACTTTACTTAAAGATTTGATAGCTATGTGTGCTAAGTGCAGTGGAGGTATGAAAATTAAGCCTATAAAACTTCAAGTACAGGGTGATCCCGTCTTTCTTAAAAGACGAATAATTCCTTATGGTCTTCGAGAAGTAGTATATAAGACATTAAACGATTTGTGTGTGAAAAGCATAATTGAACCAATTCAGTCTTCAGCATGGGGTACTCCTATCGTTACGCCACTGAAGTCGGACGGCAAGACCCCTAGAATTTGTGGTGACTATAGATTAACTCTGAACTCCCGTTTGTTGAAGCAAACGTGCACGACGGTAGAAGCTGAAGATATTCTAAATCGACTTCATGGTTCTAAAGTGTTCTCGAAAGTTGACCTAAAAGATGCTTATCTTCGAATTCCTTCAGATGAATCTTCATCTATTTTGGCGACAATTAACACTCCTTTTGGTCTGTTCAAATACAATTTCCTTCCATTTGGTTTAAGTTGTTCTCCAGCCATATTTCAGGAAGTTATGAATAAAGTAGTTAGTGATCTTGAAGGTGTTGAAGTTTATCAAGATGATCTCATTGTTCATGGCTCTAATAAGGTAGTTCATGACCAGAGACTTATTGCTTTATTGTGTCGTTTAATTGAGAAGAATATAACAGTGAATCCAAATAAGTGTTCATTTTGTGTACCTAGTTTTGAATGCCTTGGATACCTAGTTGATGGTAATGGTTTTAGACCAGATATGAAACGACTAGCTCCACTGACTAATGCACCGTCCGAAAAATCATACAGAATTACGTTCACTAGTGGGTGCTCTTCAATACTATTCCCGTTTTATTCCCAATTTTTCTTGTCGTGTAAATTGTTTATTTAATATTTTAACATCCAATTCATTCAAATGGAGTGAGGAACAAGAGTCATGCTTACGAAGTCTGCTGAGGTTTCTTCAAAGTGATGCTGTTCTTCGAACGTACTCCCCTAATGTACATTCTGTGCTAATTACTGATGCATCACCTGTGGGAATTGGTGCAGTTTTGGAACAGGAAGGTAGACCAGTTATTTGTGTTTCACGCAAACTTACTGTTACTGAACAAGGTTATTCACAGACTCAGCGAGAAGCATTAGCTGTGTTTTGGGCTGTTAAAAGACTTCATAAATATTTATTCGGAAAGAAATTCACTATTGTTACTGATCATGAAGCTTTAATGTTTATTTATCATCCCGAAAAATCCTTAGCACGTTCCTCAGCAGCTATGGTTCAGCGATGGAGTATTGCTTTGAGTGCATATGACTATACGGTTCAGCACAGAAGTGCCAAACAGATTCAACATGTTGATTACATTTCTCGACAGTCATTACAAGATAAACCTATTAATACTTCGGATTGTTTGTTAGTGCAACCTTTACCAGTGAGACGTTCAAATCTCATTAGAGAAACTCGTAGATATTTTGGATGTATACTCAGTGCTATAAGGAAAGGTTGGAATGCTAAGTTGAAACGGAGATTTCCTATCTATTTTTCAAAGCGGGATGAGTTATCTACTACTCCTGATGGTATTCTGTGTTTAAATGATCGTGTTGTCATTCCTCCTTCATTGCGTAAATCTGTTCTTGAAGATCTTCATAGTGGTCATTTAGGTGTTGAGAAAATGAAGTCCTTGGCAAGGCTCACATGCTGGTGGCCAGAGATAAATGCAGATATATGTCGTACGGCAAACAATTGTGAGAAATGTCATCAGTTGAAAAATCATCCTTCGAAGTGGGTGCCATGGCCAGTATCGTCTGAGGCCTGGCAGAGGATTCATGCTGACTATTGTGGACCATTTCTTGGTAAATACTACGCACTAGTAGTCATTGATTCTTTTTCAAAGTGGCCTGAAGTTTTTTTCACAACTTCACCAAATTCTGATTTCACAATACAAGCATTAAGAAAGGTGTTTAGTCGAGAAGATGTTCCCTTGGTGTTGGTGACTGATAATGGCTCACATTTTGCTGCAGATGCAGTCACTACCTGGTTGAACGGTATAGGGTGCAAACATCTGTTTACTGCTCCCAGACATCCGTGTTCTAATGGTCAGGCAGGGAATTTTGTTAGGACATTAAAGACTGCTACTGATTCTATAGCCCCCTCAACATTTAATGAGCTGAAGAGGGGAGTAGATACCTTTCTATTGCAATATAGAAATGCCAAACATTCGGTGACGAAGGAGACTCCAGCGAAGCTATTGAAAGGAAGAATTCTTCGGTCGAATATGAGATGTCTGGAGTCTGCAGAAGTTACATACTATCGAGGAAATGATCTTCGACCATCTACGGGTATTGTTCTGAAGAATGTCGGAAAATTGATGGTGCGAATTCTAGACATCGATGACTTAAGTACACATAGTCGACATGTAGATCAAATACAATTTCAGGAACCAGGTGAGTCAGTTCCAATTTCGATTGTTAATTCTAATGCTAATGAGCATATTCTAGATAATACAGAATCCTTATCCAATACAATGTCAGACAGACTCAGGATGAATTTGAGAAGAAGACGTACGATTGATTACAAATACCTAGACTCCAATTTAAGCTGTGGCGGATGTGGTGTTTGAATGAACCAATGATACCTTTGTACTGGTTGAATGCTTGATTTCAAATTCTAAATACAATACATTCGTTGGTGCCTGTGTCTTCTTAATTCAATTGCGTTAATCCTGGAATTCCTAACTCATACGACAATTAGAATACTATAGGGTTTTTAATAAGTAATATTTGAGTTATTTCTTCCCATCTAACTCACCAATGAATTTTTAATGAAGCGTAAGAATCTTGAGCTCTTTAGCAAATCTATTTGTTATATTTTAAATTTCTGAGCACACAAATTTAAGTGGATCAAACTTTGTAATATTTAGCCGTATCGTATCAAGTTTAACTAATAAAGCAAAAAAACCACTTTCTTCTTCGATGGTACTTATCTGAATAATTTTGATTCCTGAGAAAGAAAAGTCAAGAAAATGAACCTCAACTGGGTGATAGATGAATTTGAAGAACCAATTCTATCCAAATTATAAAAGGTTCACAGAAGAAAGCTGTGAAGAAGCTGCGATGAAGTCCTGCAAAAAGCGCTGTGCATTTTTGTGAACTTAACATAAACCACTTTTGTAAATAATGTAAAGAAGAATATGGAGTAGAATTATTAAGATTATAAAATTTCTGAAGAAAGATGAATTAGTTTCGTGTGCTACAATTTGACAGTCGGTTCATGATTGAGTCTAATTAAAAACGTAAGGAACAAAAGTAGATTTAACATAAATTAAATACGAATAGCATCTAAGCGTAGTAAATATTAAACTTGTAAGATGAATGATTCATTTATCCTAATAAGTTATCTAAATTAACTATCGTCCATATTCTTCAACTTTACACTTCTGATGAATGTATCTTATTGTGGATAAAAAGGACCATATGAACAGTTGAGATCTACATATAAGTGGATAACGCAGTGGCATTTGAAGTGAATGGTGCTGGTTTCGAGTCAAAGAGTAAATATCAACTCTGAAATTCAAGTACATCCAGCTGACGAGTCTTAAGTAAAAATAAACGCATATCTTGGATTCCACTGCTATCCATTACCCATCTCTATAATGCAATGTTGAGACAATCCTCACAGAATGCCCATATGTCAAAAGAGACCGATTTAATCCAGTTCTAGAGCCTAAGTGGAAGATTCAAACAAGCGATGCAAATCAATTAAATAGATATTTACTTACTTAAATCAACAAAGACTGAGAAGTCGGATGAAAACTTTTGGGGTAGACAAATCAGTGAATTAATCAATAAAATTATTTATTACTAGTCTGAGCCATATCAATAGGTGCAAACTTCTTGTTTGAAACCTATCCAGTAGTCGTAATGTATGGCTATAGACTTTGAAGGGAATGTTCCAAAAGTGATCACAACAACTCATTTGCCTTCATTCTCTAAACCTTGAAGTTAGTGTCAATCCTAATTTTACGTTCTTCATTATCGTTTATTCTGATCAAATTGGATTTTTAGATTTTTATTTCATTCAAGATTACATTATTCCCCTTCCCCTATTTCCCATTTT